TCTCCTGAATATCTATTTCCTGAACGTGTCGTCTGCTGTTTGTTTAATGAGAAGTGTTGCAATTTCTCATGAAAGAGTAAAAAAAAACGATGTTAGTTCAGCAGCTTCCTCCAGGAACTGCCACACCACGGGGCAATAACAGTGACGTCAGCACAGCTACAGGTAGACGATGACAGGTATCGTATCGTTTTGTATCGAATATTATTTTACCAAATAGTATTGTATCATAACTACGATACTATACGTTATGATACAATACTATTTGGTCAAATAATCTACGATACAACGCGATACTTACGTATGGTACGTTATGGTGTGGTACGCATCTCATCACGTCATCGATGTTTGACAAGGAGGATACTAAGGAGTGTGGTTTCATTTTGTTTCCTTTCAAGTTGACAAATCATCAGTGATCATGTGACTTTGTTGATAACCAGAGAATGATTAATTAAATTGACCTTTAGTCTGAATAATTATGGGAGATAAAAAAATCCTTTATCTCCTTTCTTCTAACTTTTTTTTTTTTTTTTTTTGTGCTTACACCTCTTGTTTTCTCTCATTGTGCTGAGAAACGGCAGTAATTTACTCGTCCTGAATAACCAGAGTGTGGCGCCGCTCATTTAGCCTGCGGCGTACAGAACTAACATCTGGACTGTTTGGCAGCCCGGCTGCCGTCAGCCTTGTTGGAAAGTCTTTGTCAATGCTGCTCCAGATGCAGGAGAGGGAAGTCCAGCACACACAGATGGAGACACACAAACACATCCAGGTTGGCAGACACGCACATACAACACATTCTACCACATACACACACACACACACAGACACACACGTGAACAGAGGGAGTGTGTATGGGCAGCCATGCAGACAGATGTGCAGAGGAGAGGCAGTTAAGGCAAACACCGACCCCACAGACGTGTGGTCTGGTGCCCAGATGGGGGCGGAGTCGGAGCTGATGTGGTGGCAGAGAAAGGCTTCGTTGGCTCAGGTGACATGTTCTCAACAGCTGGCACAGGTTAGACATTCCTGGGAATTGAAGCCACAAAACAAATGTTCCCATTGGCTCAGGGCTGGTGCTGCAGCAGACACACACACACACACACACACAGACTGAGCTCCACTGGGTTTTTGGTGCTTTGCTCAACACAACACGGAATTCAATCCAGCAACCCTCAGCAGCCCAGTCCTGTCACCACCACAGAACCATGTCCTGAATCATCAACACGACTTCTTCTTTAATGTCTCTCACTGACCAGACTAGTTCACCTCACGTTAACCAGTCACCTGTTTAACTTATTGATGAATTATTCTGCCTCGTTCTTACTCCTCAGACCTCGACCAAAAAGTTCAACCAATTCTACCCTCCGACGGCCAACGTCGGCCAAATCTACTTTGGTCGATCCTGCCAGTAGCATATGCTTGTCTCAAAGATTAAACCATGCAAGTCTGAGGCCGAGAAGCATCAGTTGTGCGTCCCTGTTTGTTGTGGTCGGCCTGCTGTGCTTCAGTTTGATAACGGCTCCAGTCCACTTTATTGCTAATATAAATAACGATAATAGTGACCAGTCGGAGTGAAAAGACCTGAGCACCCACGTTAGCCTTCATCAAACTGACCTGCGTCGTGCTGTGGAGACTGTGAGACAAATGTGGGATGTCATGGCTTCAACACTTCGGTTCGGTTCGGTTCAGTTCGGTTCAGTTGTGACAACACACACCTGATCTGTCGACTGTAGAACAGAAGAGAAAAATGAAATGAAGTTGGACAAAAACAGAGCCCAGAGTCCAGAGGGGGGTTCGTCTGTGGCAGGATGGCTGTCCAGATGTAGACCCCCTCCATCCCCACACACACACACACGCACAACCACCCCCCCCCAACATTACCATCTCTCCAACCTTTACACTCACCCACACACACACACACACACATGTCACACTCAGCGGCTGGCTGTTAGCTCGGAGGCGCCATTAACCAATTTAGCTTCCAGATGTCCATCACAGAGCAGCAGCCAAAGCTGCAGCGCTCTCTGAGAGCGTCACAAGCCGGAGTGTGAACATCCCACACACACACACACACACACACACACAGAGAGATGTGCTGACGCTCAGAAGAACAGACACAGATATCTATAGAACCACAGGGACTTCTTCAGAAGACGCGTTTTCACGTTAGCACATCTGACACGGAACTTCAGCCACTGAGAAGATTGACAGGAAGGAGGTCCTGATGAAACCCAGACTCCTCTGAAGGTGATTCTCCGCCATCTGGAGATGAGCACGTTAAATACACAGTTGTTTATCCTGATGTCTGGAGAAGTCCACGCACACACACACACACACACACACACACACTGCTGGAGACTTCAGTGTTACAGATGCTGCACCTCTAGGTGCTCAGAGACCAGCAGCTGTTCACCAGCCGTCAGACGGCGACCGTTGATGGTCCATGAATATTTTACACTCAGTCAAACGACTCCAGCAGCAGCAGAGCTGGAGATCAGATCATGGAGGAGCTCCAGCCACTGTCCATGATAAGGAAGTTGCTCTGCACTTCCTCCAGGGCGGTGACAGATGTCACACCGGACTCAGTGTTATTTTCTTTAGATGCCATGACATCAGAGTATTTTAGGAATTTGGCCGAGACGTGAACTTCACATCTGGGCGCTGAACACACGCTGTGGAAGATGAAGGAAACTCTGATAGGCTGAACCAGAGACAGACTCCACTGACGGAGGAGGACGTTGGACGAAACCATGATGTGGTCTGGGTACAAGTCCAGATCAAAGTGGACCAAAGCTCCTCCCACCTCAGCAGGACTCAAGATGTGTGAACAGAACATGAAGATGAAGATGAAGGAAACTCTGATCTGAACTGAGGTCCAGCTGAACATCTGGACGTGGAGGAGAGCAGAACAACAGTACTGAACAACGGTACTGAACAACGGTACTGAACAACAGTACTGAACAACGGTACTGAACAACGGTACTGAACAACGGTACTACTGAACAACAGTACTGAACAACGGTACTGAACAACAGTACTGAACAACAGTACTCTCAGCTCAGTTCCAGTCTTCATAGCTGGGAGAGATGATTCAATCCCATCAGCCCCAGGGCTGAGATTGAAACATCTGTCTCCCCCTCCCTTCCACCTCATCCTCCCCCTTCTGTCAGAGAGCCCAGCATCTCCCACGGAGTCTTCTTCCCTCTTGCACATCCATTACTCTGTATGATGATGGTGGGGGCTGTGGGACCGAGCACGGAGAACCGTTCCAGGAACTGACACTTTTATTAGCTGTTCATTAGCTCCTAGCTTCCTCTGCACTTTTACAGCATTTCACAGGTGAAGTAACGAAAACGATGAAGGAGCTCGAAGACTCTGTCCAGCAAAACGATCGGAGCGGGAGGGAGGGAGAGGAGAGTATGTTTGACAAATCACTGAATTTATTTTTTTAATGTTTGTTTGTTTATAGAATTATGAATTCCGTTGCATAATAATCACAGTCTCATTACTATTGGGTTGAATAGTAATTATTATTTATTACATTATTTTATTCTTCATATTAAAAATAAACTCTAAATTCCAATCTTCAACCACTACGCTGCTGATCCACCTGATGACTGAGAGGATATATTTTATATATATTTGATAAATTCCAATCGTCAACCACTACGCTGCTGATCCATCTGATGACTGAGAGGATTTTATATATTTTTATATATGTTTTATATATATTTCATCATACTTCCATTCATTTAATTCAACTCTCACTCTGTGCTGGACTCAGACAAACTTGTCCAACGAATCTTGACGCTGATTTTCCTTCTGTCCTTTTTTTTTTCATTCCATTATTTCAACTCCCTGCTGCTTCAAACCTGAGCTGAAGCTTCATCAACGGGACAATGATGTAAATTAACATTGTCGTGTAGACGACTAAAAGGGAACGACTCAAATTGAGTGAAAGTGAGTCCAAACATCTTGATCCCCAAATGAATCGGTAGCTAAACAGACAGATTCGCTCCGACGACGACGACAGATGGAAAGATATTTCTGAGCACGCTGCAACAACAAAGGACGCAAAATAAAAACAGCTGACGGGAGAATTTAGACATAACAAAGTCAATTAGAAACAATGGACATTTGAAGAATTCAATTTGTAAATCTAAGTAAAATGAACAAATATAGCCGTCTATCATTTGATTCAGATTCAATTTAGTGTAAAATTAGCACGGTGGTCAGAAGTCTGGGGGCTGCAGGGTTGATTTTTCACAGCTGTCTCGTTAAACACCTTTGAATATAAAATGTAATTAATGCTGGCAAAGAAAAGGCAGAACCTGTGAAGCATATACCGTTGAAATGTCTCTGCAGTAGCCCCGGGTTTTGTTTCTGTTTTTTTTTTTTTTCTCACACTGGTTTCTTCTGCCAGACTCACAGATATTCATTTTCCACTGATTAAAATCTTATATAATAATATTACACACAAAACAGAAAAGCAATTACAGAAAAGAAGGGCAGAATATAAGTTAATTATGGGAGGAAGATCATTTTTTAAAATCAAATACATATAAATAAATAAATTTTCATCTCAAATTTAATGTGGCCCTCTGTCCGTTTGTTTTTTTTATTATATTTTTATTTTTAAATCTCATGGAAATTTAGTATTGATCGAAATTTCACCCTGTGAATCTAACACTGTTCAATTAAACCGGGGATAAAAAAAAACTGGGATCTACAGCGACCTCCAGAGGTGTAAAGTAGAAAATCAGTTGAACGCTGAACTTCATTTGCACCAGTGGAGGCAAAAAAATACAGACTGTGATACTGGAGACTGTGGTGACGTAACAGAGGTGTAAAAAAACAAAAGAACCAAGTTAGTTAATTAAAATAATGTAACTAATAATAAGTTGACTAAAACTAGTTCTACTACAAATAATATTTCAGCGTTTCATTTCAGTTCAAACGTAAGTAAACTAATAATAAATTAAAGCTCATCATTTACAAAAAAGGACAAACTCACGTCAGAAGGTTGTGGGTTCAGATCCATCAGTCAGTCATCCCCTTCCTCAGGGTGCAGCAGTTGTCATCCAGGGGATAAGGGTGGGGTGGGGGGGTTACACCCTGGACAATGTGTGTCGAGGAAACTGGAAGGTAAGAAAATAAAAATGTAAAAGAAATGTCATCAACACATTTTCTATACTTTGTAAATAAACAAACCGTTATTTCTTTCCCTGTGACCTGACCACTGAGGTTCTGCCTCATCGGGTCCAGACTCTTGGACTAATCAACAGGCAGAAAAAAAAAAAAAATTTAAATTACACTAATCTTCATACGGAACAAAAAACAAACACAGCGACACACAAAGCTACCTCATTACTCTGTTCTCCAAAACACACACACATCACGTCATCTTTAACAACAACTCTTATATAAAACAAAAACTCTCCGTCCGCCGTGTCAACGTCCACGCGGTGCTTCGTGCGCTGTGCCAAAATGAGCCAGTAGTTGTCGCTGCTGCTGAACTCTGGGCCCGACTGGGTTTTGTTGTGTGAACAAGGCTCTGATTGTAGAGCACTGATGATGTGGAGCACAAATTGACAGACACATTAACAGGGTCACCGTTGATTTGCATTTTAACAAGTGGCTGGGCTATGACACCAGAGCGTGTGAATTCATTAGTGCACACTCCGGACTTCTATTAGTGACGCCAATTAGTTTTGTGGGACAGGTTTAGGAGATGCAAATTGGACCAACACGATTGGACCAACAGAGCGGCTCCTTTTTTCTTTTCTTTTTTTTTTCCTCACAGGACAGACGTGTGATGAAGGGTTTTGTCCCAGTGACCCACATCTGAGAGGAATCCTAGGTGGTGCTAAAGAGCAGGAGAGCCATATACTTCTTATTACAAATCAGATTTAAAACAATTCTAGCCTGAAGTCTGTCAGATATTTATAGTGTTTGTTATCATCCCTGGGATTAAATCCCATTAAGCATCTCAGAAAAGAAATGATCTAGACACTAAACCACCACAGCTGCTGCTGAATCTCCTTGTCCTAGATTTGGGTTTTTTTTTTCTGAGTCATGTAAAAACCTAAATGTCACCAGTTCATCAGCTCTGTGCACTTTTCATCTAGAAAAATAGAACCTGCTAAGAATTAGATACATCGCAAAAAGTAAGGTGTCCAGCCATTAAGAAATTAATCACTAAAAATTTAAATTGGATTTACCATGATTAATCTAGGAAGAGATATGGAAAAATTCTGTATTTTCCTGGAACAGTCAGACCAACATCAGCAGGTAGAGGTCAGTGTTTCTCACCTGTTTTCATCTGTGACTAATCCAAACGATGGGATTATTAATCTGGACGAATGTCCAAGAAATTGTCCAACAGCCGGGCCGCAGACCAGAGGTTGAAGCGAAACTGTCCAAAAGCCGGGCTGCAGACCAGAGGTTGAAGCACCCACCCGCAGACACACGCTGGGAGGTGATGATGGGATGTTCAGATCGAGGGGAATTCTGCTGAAACCAGAACTTTTTCTTGAAGTTTCTGTGAATGACAACATGTGAAGTGACTACAGTTAGAGAAATGACCAATGGATGGACAGTGACATCATCGTTACTGAAACACTGGGAGCTACTGCTGCACGGGTCAATACTTTTACTAGTACTGGTACTGGTACTGGTGCTGGTAGTTAAGTGTCGCAGTCAGCTGTGAGGCAGCTGTGCCTAGTATTATAAGTAGTACTATTATACATGTATTTGTAGTATGTGATTCAGAGTATTATGGGATGTAGACTGTGTCTGTGGTTCACTTCATAACCAGTGATTTTCCTGGTTTTTCCAGGTCCAGGAAACAGGAAATATCTCATGGAATCTCACACAGACAGTTACACATGTACTCTATTACTGCGATTTACTTAATATTACTATGTGTTGTTTTTTTTCCAGCCCCGAGTCCCCTCCGTCTGCTCCCGTAAACTTGTTCTGAGTCTTTCTTATTGGTAGTGCACCTGCTCCTTCCTTGTAGCAGCTGGGTGACTACAGTACCCAGACTGCACTGCGTGTCTGGGCTCCTCTCCAGTCTCAGGTTCTCCCTCTGCTGCAGCAGTCTGATCTGTGACTCCAAGCAGCAGTTGGTTCGTTCCAGCTGCTGTTTCTTCTTCTCTCCTTTCTTTCTGCTGATGCTGTTGTTGTTGTTGTTGTCTGCTGTCAGGCGACACCGACGGAGCAGATCAGCACACATCCCTCCCTCCACACTGTCGGAAGGGCTGCTTCGAAATTGCCCTGACTTTCCTCCACCATTGGCTTCAGCGCTGTGCCACTCAACTCTCCTCCACCTCCTCCCTTTTCTCCCCCTCCTCCTCCTTAGGCTCCAGCCCTGAGTTGAGCAGCAACAGCTCGGAAACATCTGTCCGCCGCAGAGTGCTGCGCTCCCCGCTCCTGCTCCCCGGCTCAGCTCGACTATGGAAACCAGTCCGAAAAAGTCAGCCTAGTTCTGTCTGCGGAGGACAAACCGATTTTTGACGGAAGAAGAGAGGAGGACGCCGGAGCCGGAGCTGCTTGTCTGTAAGTGCTGCTTCCCTAACCAGCGGAGTGCGGTGAGAGGAGGCTCCGGTAGAAGGAGCGAGGAGGGCGGCAGGGAGGAAGAGAGGGGCCGGGGGTGAAGTGTGGAGGAAAAGTGGCCGGAGCTTCTTCACCGTGACTCTGTTTCTAATAGTTGCCATGTTAGCTGTGCTCTTTTAGCAGCTGTTGTCATAGCACCGGGGCCTCCACAACTACTGTAAATAGCTCCTTACTGTCGCTTTACTTTTGTTAGCAATCAGCGGGCTGTAGCTAGCCGCATGGACGCGCATCTGCGAGTGCGTGTACCCGACTGATCGGGATAAATTCATCAGTTAATTCAACGCCGACGCTCCGGTGACTTTACGTTAATTTTCGACGCTTAAAAATAACGTAAAGCGGTTTTAAAACGGTTAATAAACAGCCCCCAAAAAGGATCACCTTATAAACATTATCGTTGAAAAAAAAGAGAACTTTTGTTAAATTTTGTGTCTGACTTTAAAGATATAAAAAAATATCAAATTAGTTCTGTTTTACAAAAAAGTTAGCTCTGGCGGCTAATGTCATAAAAACATTTTAATGTATTTTGAGGTTGAAAACTCAGATTTTTTTTACATCAACATATGCTATATACATTTTGTAAATAAAAATAAGAACTTTTAACAACTTTATAATTTTTTTTTTAGAAAAAAGTCCGTACTCTGTCTTTAGGTGCAAATAGCGATTCTCAGTTCGCTGTGTTGCCACCTGTCATCGTCATTTTTAGCAGGAAAACAATATTAAATAATGTTTTTTATAAAATATATTTGCTTCATTTTATTTAGAAAAACAAATAGCGATTCGCAGTTCGCTGTGTTGCCACCTGTCACGGTCATTTTTTAGCAGAAAAACAATATTAAATAATGTTTTTTTAATATATATTTGCTTCATTTTATTTAGAAAACTCTTTGATTGGGGTCACGACGTCTGCGATTATCAGCGTTTGTCATAGTCGCATTCAATTAAAAAAATACGTTTAGGTTATTGTTTACGTCTTATTACACAGAAATAAGTAACCTAAAACTATATTTTTGTTCTCATTGTCTGTTTTTGGTGGCTTTAGTTTTATTGAAAACAACATTTTTTAAATTAATAATTGAAAACTATTCAGCTGCTTAAAATAAAAGTCACAGAAATGACACACAGGTCTGGTCACGTGGTCAGATTGGCGTTTTATATATATATTTAAAGGCTGTCATTTTACTTGTTATCAGTAGTTGAAGGCTGTTCACCTGTTTGTTCAGGACCACCTCTCACTTCTCTTTCTTCAGACTTGTTCCTATTGTTTGTTTTTTTTGTTCCCGTCAGTTGTGGGAAAGGTCCACAGACATGGGGGGTGGTGTCTGCGAGTGGACATAAATGAATGAATGAATGAATGAGTGAGTGAATGAATGAAGCAGTGAATAGATGGACTATAAGGAGGAGGCAGCGGCGCTGAACCGTAAAGAAGTGGGAACAGTATCAGCTGCGTGTGTCTGTCAGCCGCAAATGTGCTGCGTCGGCCTTTGTTTATGGCAACTGGACAGGGATGAGAGGGAGACAGAGGAGGGGAGACGGAGGAGGGTTCCAACACTGCCAAAACAACAGAAGAAAGAGAGAGAGAAAAAAATACAAGTTTTAATCTTGTTCTTATGGGAGTTTGTCAAAGTTCACAGTTTGACTAGTTTTAATAAAATTCCTACGTTAAGTGACGTTACAGTGACATTAAACCCAGGTTTCTTTACTTCATAGAGACGGGGAGGAAGGTGAGAAAAGGGAGGAGCGGGAGAAAAATGAGACAAAGTTAGGAGCTGTTGGTAGAATGAAAGAGGAGTCTGGTGGCAGGAGTGTAGAGGAGGCAGCATATGGCTGTAGAAAGAGCACAGCTGGAGGTAGCATCTCCATCTGAGGATGATGTCAGAGCAGCTGACAGGCTGCCATCCACCCTCCACCTCCTCCCCCGTCCCTCCACTGCCTCCACCCCTCCCCTCCCCACTCCTTTATTGTGAGTCTCAGCGGCAGCCTGGGAGAGTTAGTGCTGTGAATGTGTGTGTGTGTGTGTGTTTGTGGCTGCCGATCAGTTAGGAGGAGGGAGGAAGAAGAAGAGGAGGAGGAGGAGAACGAGGGAGTTGGTATCTCGTCCCCCCTCCAACATCTCCACTTTGCATCTGTCCTTCGCAGTTTGAACAGCGTGGCTTTTTAAGCCTTCCTCCCTCGTCGTCTTCTCTTCCTTCTTCTCTTCCTTCTTTTCTTCTACCCACTCATTGATTCGGAGGGAGCGAGAAGAAAAAGAAGGAGGAAGAAGAAGAAGAAAGAGAGCGAGAGTAAGAAAGAGAAAGAGACATTCCCAGCCACTGAGAGAGAGAGAGAGACCAGCTATCCTGCCACAGTGGAGTTAATCAAGTTGATGCATACGGCTGCAGGTACCGTCAGTGTGTGTGTCTGCGTGTGTGTGTGTGTGTCCGGGACAGTGAAGGACTTGTTTTTGTTGTGGTGTTTCTCCAGTTTGTCAAAGCCGTGGAGCTCTGTCTTAGAAACTGCCGGTGAGTCTTCAGTAGTTACTTCTGCTGCTGCTGGGGAGAGGAGTGGGGGTGAGGGGGGAGTCCAGGGGGAGGGTCTGGGAACACTTTGCTGTGTTTTCACTTAGCGGTGCTGATAGCTACATTTAAAACTCAGCTGTCGTCGGCGGTTCTGTTCGGACCCTCGTCGTTTAGAACTTTTAATTTCCTGTCGTTTGAACAGAAGAGAAAAGTGTGAGTCTGTGACGAAGGAAACTTCAGACCAGATCGACAGAGAAACGGACAAATGACACATGACTGTTCACATTATATCTGTTCGTAAAAATTAAAGTCGCAACTGTGCGCTCTCCTCCGTCCACCCCTGTCGCCTCCGTCCACTCCTCTCTCCTCCTGACGGCTGGAGTGGAGCAGACTAATTTAGAAGTTGCAGATTTGAGCTGCCTGAATTGGCTAGACAGCTGTAATCGCACTCCCTCCTAGTCTTAATCTCTTTATCTGGCTAGCAGCTGCCATATGGCCCCCGTCAGCTGGATCAGATGTGGGTAAGCCTCCCTCTCCCCGGCCGTCCAGGTTTCTACCTCACCCTCTCTTCTGCTTGCCTCTCGCGTCTTGGTTTCTCTCCCTCCCCTTTGGTAGACCCCTGCCTGAGCGGGCCCAGCCGGGCCGGTGTGGTCGTCGGGGGTCCGGGGTCCGGGGGTGACGGGCTGAGCCTCCTCTGACAGCTCTCCTCCCCGTTGCCACCGCGGCCGTCTGTATTTTTAGACATCTTTAAGGATTAGGATTGATGCTGTGACGAGCAGGGCACTTACAGTGATTGTATTGTAAATCTTCTCTTCTTGGTGGTGGGTGGACCGGGGGAGGAGGAGGGTGAGGACCAGAGGAGGAGGAGGGTGAGGACCGGGGCAGTTTCTGCTGTTGGGGCGGATGTGTAGGGGTTTTTTTTTTTCTGTAAGATTCAGAGAGAGACGGAGTGTGTGAGTGACGGATGGCGAGTGTGTGTGTGTGTGTAAGGAGGAGGTTGGACGTTTGGCTGGACGGGGGTGGGGGTGGGGGTGTGGAGGGCTGGGAGGTGGTACACCCTTGTCCCTATAAGCCCCCTCATTAAAGCAGTTTGAACAAACCGTAGCGCGACACACACTCACACACACCGCCGACACGCGCGCACACACACACACACACACACACTCATACACACATTCCTGGTGGCGCTTCATTCAGATGAGGTGACTGGACCACAGAGCAGAGACATGTATTTTCTCAGGCAGGACAAGTCGACGTGGTTAACAGGTGGGAGTTCAACTGGAATTATTTTATTTTATTTTAAAGTTAGTTTAAAGATTTATTTCACTTCATTTCCTGTTTTATTTTTTATTTTGATTTCCTTCGTACATTCTTTTTACTGGACTGTGGAGGTGGTCGGTGTGTAGGTAGGTGTGTGTGTGTGTGTGTGTTACGTACGTGAGTACAGTGTGTGCAGCTGAAAGCCGGTTACCTAAAAGGGCTGTGCCAGGCCAGGCCAAAGTGGGTTAATAAAAATAACCAGCGTAGGAGCAGCGACAGTCCAGGAGTGGAGGCAGGAGATAAAGATCCAAAGACTCAAAGATAGAAACGACGCAGAGAGTCAGGAGAAAAAATCTGGATCTGAATCTGTATGTGCTGCTGGTTCACCTCAGATTAGGACAATCTCTGGATTATTGTCATCAATCTTCAATTTGTAGTAGGTTAAAAAAATGGTTCATTTCATTTTTTATTTATTTTTTTTGTAAAAAATGTAAAAAACATTTATTTATATGTCGTAGAGTAATTAAATAAATCTGTCTCTGAAGCGTCCGCACAATTTAGTTATTAGGGTTATAAGAAAATTAAATTCTGTATTTTTTTTGTCACATTCTGGGTTAAATTTTTTTTTTTAATTTCCTTTTTTTCTGTTTAAAAATATCTGTGTGGTTCCAAACGTACGCTGACGGCGTTCTCTCACACCTTCATCTGTTTTCAGCAGCTGACAACTGAATCGCACAGTGAGACGTTCTGTTATTTTCAGTTTTTAATTTAAACAAATTCATCCATAAATACTAATGGGTTCATTTCATTAAAAAATAAAAACAACACTTTTTTATTTTAGTATCTTTTTTCATCTGTAAATCGTTGGTATGTATCAGAGTGTGTGTTTTTCTCGCGGCCGTCTTTAGCTGTAGGGTGTGTGTTTGAATCCGTCCACATGTCGACTGTTGGTCGATGGAAGGTGATGAACATCAGTGTGTATGAGCCCGAGTTTGTCCAGCTCCTGTCTAACCCGGGGTCCTGGGTCCTGGGTCGAGGTCTGGGTTCTGACTCTCTCGGAGACTGACTCAGTGTTTCTTCTTCCTCTGTGTCTGTGCGGCTGCAGGTTATGAGGACGGCAGGATGGAGTTCCCCGACCACAGCAGACATCTCCTCCAGTGTCTGAGCGAGCAGCGGCACCAGGGCTTTCTGTGCGACTCCACGGTGCTGGTGGGCGACGCTCAGTTCCGTGCGCACCGCGCAGTGCTGGCCTCCTGCAGCATGTACTTCCACCTGTTCTACAAGGACCAGCTGGACAAGAGGGACGTGGTCCACCTCAACAGTGACATCGTCACCGCTCCGGCCTTCTCTCTGCTCCTCGAGTTCATGTACGAGGGCAAGCTGCAGTTCCAGAACCTTCCCGTGGAGGACGTTCTGGCGGCGGCCAGCTACCTGCACATGTACGACATCGTCAAGGTGTGTAAGAAGCGTCTAAAGCGAAAGGCCACGGCAGAGGCGGACAGCACGCGCAGAGAGGACGACGGAGGGTCCAGCTGCTCCGACAAGGCCGACAGTCTCTCCGACGGTTCTCCCGGACGGCCGGCCACCGCCGACCTGCTGCAGAGTGATGAAGATGAGGAGGGGAAGGCTGAGGGCGCGCCTCTGTGGCTGAGGCTGCCCAGTACAGACAGAGCAGGGACGCCAAACATGGCCACCACCAGCCCTCGTCACCCGGAGGGGGAGACGCAGGCCGGAGAGTCACTGGTGGAGGCAGGAAAACTTCTCTCCCCGGCCAGAAGCCCCACCAGCTCCACCGGGTCACTCTCCCAGAGGTCGCACCGCTCTGTGGGCTCTCGTGGGGGCCACAGGGGCAGGAGGGTGTCCAGCGATGCTGCCGACTGCGTCCTCGATCTGTCGGTGAAACCCATCTCCGGTAGCAACCACAACAACCACCACCAGCCCTTCTTCAGCGGGGCAGCTACACCTGACAGCCTCCAGAGCCCATTGGCTGTGAGGGTGAAGGTGGAAAGGGGCGTGGCTTCAGACGAGGAAGAGGAACTGGGAGGCGGAGACTACGACATGGAACACAGCGGCCTCACCAAGGCCACTCTTCCCAGCGCCAACGGGGTCCTGACCCACCACGGGGTCGGGGGACCTCTGTCGGCACAGCGGCGGCTCGGCCTGGAAGCTCACCTGTCGGCGCTGAGGGAGGCCTCGCTGGCCTCTGAGCTGGAGCGGGACGAGAAACCTCCCCCCACGGGAGACGAGGACGACATCCTGGGGGGCGAGAACGAACGCGCTCAGGCCGAGGCGGCCAGCATGGACAGCTCCCTGCTGCCCTACGTCTCCAACATGCTCTCTGCTCCCCACACCCAGATCTTCATGTGCCCCCTGTGCAACAAGATCTTCCCCTCCCCGCCCATCCTGCAGCTCCACCTCAGCTCCCACTTCAGGGAGCAGGAGGGCATCCGCTCCAAACCCGCCGGAGACGTCAACGTGCCCACCTGCACCATCTGCAGCAAGACCTTCTCATGCATGTACACACTGAAGCGCCACGAGCGGACACACTCGGGTGAGAAACCCTTCACCTGCACCACCTGCGGGAAGAGCTTCCAATACTCCCACAACCTCAGCCGCCACGCGGTGGTGCACACGCGCGAGAAGCCGCACGCCTGCAAGTGGTGCGAGCGGCGCTTCACGCAGTCCGGGGACCTGTACCGACATATCCGCAAGTTCCATTGTGAACTGGTCAACTCGTTGTCGGTGAAGAGCGAGCCGCTGGCGCTGCCCAACGTCAGGGACTGGGCCATCGAGGACAGTTCGCAGGAACTGTGGAAGTAGAACCGGCGGAGGGGTTTGACAAAGGGAAGTAGGGGAGTCGGGGGGTGAGGAAGAACGGTGGGAGAGTTTAATGTGTCGGGGGGGGTCGGGGAGGGGTTGAGTGAATCATGTTGTTGTTTGTGGCAAGGTCTCATTCAATTGCACTTTAATAGCACATGAAAACGTTACTACTGACTCTTTAGTTGCTGTTTTTGGCCGAGGTTCCGTTTGAAATCCTGGTCGGGATCTGAACCCGTCACTGATTGAAAACTTTTTTTTTTTTTTGTATGTGTGTGTGTTTCATGTCAGATGCTCCAAACACTCCCACAGCGGTCGGTGCATGGTCTCCACCCGTTGCAGGAGTTCAGGTCAAATACACTGAAGTAAAAGGCATTAGAATACTCTACTGTACTGTGTATGTGCAGTACTGCACTACTCTGGCAAAAAAAAAAAAGAAGAAGAAGAAAACAACTGACGTGTGTGTGTGCGACGAGTGTGTGTGTGTGGTGTGAATTTATTTCATTAGCTACTGGGCGGGAGGCGTCGTGGGCGAAGCCCCGCTTCTCCCGAGGAGCGCCGCTCGGCGTCGTTGACGACTGACAGACGAACTGATGGCACTCATGCAATGAACAGCCTCCTTTTTCACTGGGAATCAATTTGAAGTCATTTTTAGAAAAGAGGGGGAAAAAAAACCTTTAAAGTGATTATTCTAATTAATATTATTATTATTGTTCTTAATAGATTTGTTTTTCTTAAATCTAGTCTTTGAAAAATCATCTTGTTAAAAAAACATATTTAAGTTAAAGTTGTTGTATATTGTTCTAAAAAGTTTAATCCTACTTTTTTAAATTATTCTTCTTCTTCTTATTTTGTTACTTTTGTAATGGGACCTGCTGTTGTTGCATGACGTCCACTCCTGTATATTTTCAGATGAAATGTGAATTTGCTGTATTACTGTACACAGTGTAATGGATCAAATATTTGACCACAGGCTTTTTTTTCCTTTTTTTTTTTCTTCTCTACTCTTCGTGGTGAGGAAAACAAACACACCTCCAGGTTCAGTCGTTCACAGCTGGGTTTTCACTTTTTTGGGGAAAAGAAAAATGCATGAAATTTGATTTTTTTTCTTTTTTTTCTTTTTGGTCTTAAATTTAATTTTGAAGCTTTTTTTTTTCTGCCTCAAGGGGAAAGTGTGTCCCCAATGTGTTTACTGTCGGCTGCTGCGGCCGAACCGTGGGGTGAGGCGTCCGGGGTGAGGCGTGTCTTTATGCACTGATTTATCTGTGTGCGTGTGTGTGTGTGTGTGTGTGTTCATCAGCATGTGACTTGGTTATTACGAGTCAATTGAACTTACTGACGATCTATGTCCACCCAGCACCCCCCCCCCCCCCCCCCAAGCCACACAGTGATTTTTCTGTTACTCTTGGCTCTAAAGTATAACACAGACAGAATGAGAGAACCTGATTGGTCGAGGCCGCAGGTTCCAACGTCAGCCGTCATTTACAGCTGATCTGAATCACAACAGTCACAACAGTCAGAACAGTAACAGTCATCGTCTTCATGTTGTCGCCACGGTGCGTCACACATTAATCCGGGATGTGAAAGTGATTAAGGTTTGTGTGTATGTGTGTGTGTGTGTGTTTTCCACCACGACGTTGACCTTTATTTTGACGCACACCAGACAGATCTCTGAATCTCTGAACACATTTTTAAGTTAAATTATTATTATTGTTATTATTATTGGTAAATTATTTTTCTTCTAAAAAAAATCAGTTAGAATTATTTTACAATGTAAATCACTTGAAAATTGATTTTAAAAAATAGACGTATCAATTTAAAGATTTTGTTAAATATATCTTTAAAAAATCTATTTTTTTTCTAAATGTTTGGTTTTTTTTAAATAATTATTTACAAAATAATTGTTTAAATTTAAGTGTTTTTACAACCTGGACTAGGCCGCGATTCGGGAAAAACACGGCTCTGCATTTACCGTGTGTGTGCGCGTGTGTTTGCGCGGGCGTGTGTGTTTGTGTGTGTGTGTGTGTTTTCCGTCCCATCTTCTGGTGGTACCTACAGGCTCTGCCAGTGCAACAGTGTGAGGAACATTACAGCAGTTTTTGCAGCATCGCCTCATTTTTTTTTTACCCTGAAACAGAAGTCTGCCCCCCCCACACACACACACCCCCACGCCACACACCCAGCTCCTCACCCCCTGCAGCATCATTTCATATGGATTCAGTCGATCCTGCTGTTGTTTTCACCGTCACTGCTGTTCTGGTTGTTGTAGTTTTTCCTCTGGTTGTACTTGACGGCCTTAAACTGCTGTAGTTCAGGTTGTTCTTATTTTTATTGATGGTTTTTTTTTTCTTCTGTGAGGATGGTGGAGGGGGGTCCAGGAGGGGAGGGGTTGTTAGTGATGCCAAGGTGTAGAAACTGACCTGCTGAGGAAAACCTCCATCTTTGGCTGTGCTTACTTGAAAAAACAAAGTGGGGGGAGAGGAGGAGGAGGAGGGGGGGGGTCTATTTTTCTTCTTAAATAAAGTCATAAAGTAAATTGTTAAAATGTCAAACAGGTGATGAGAAGACAAATGGGGGTGGAGTGTAAAGGGGGAGAGGGTGGGGGGCTGTAAAAGAGTTTGTTTTGAAAAGAGGACAATCAGTGTCTGAGTTGAGAAACAGATTTGGTTGAATTCTATTTCCTCCCTTTGAGATTCTTTGCTCTTTTTTTGTTTTAAATTATTCCTTTTTTTTCCAGATTTAGTCTTTTTAGCTTTGACAATCATAGCTGGGTTGATTTTTCTCAAGGGGAGTAAAAAAAAAAAGTTTTGTGTTTAGTTTTGTAATTTTTTTGGTGTGTGCTGTTCTTGACATTTTTAAATTGTGTGCAAATTGCAATAAATTATAAGAATCTTGACATGAAACCGAGTCTGGACGTTTGTCTCACTTCAACCACGACGACGACAAAAACAGAACATTTCCACGACGACGGTGCAGGGAAATTATACTTTATCAAATTATTGAAAGGAAATTCTGATGCTGCACAGAAGACTTTTTTTTTTACAAAAAAATATTATTAAATTAAATTATATAAAACTACCAAAACTATGAGAGTCAGTGATTATTTAGAGTCAGTCATCAGTCCATTAGATTATTAAAAAAAATGAATTTCCCAGGGGCTGGAAGGTCCTGGAGAAGTCTGCAGAAGGACCTTGAAAAGCTTGGAAAGTGCTTAAAGTGAACATGGTAAAAGTTTGATGTTTCTGTGCGTGAACCAAGTTTGTCACACACACACACACAGAGACAGAAAGGTCACAGAAAGGTCAGATCAGGAGGACACTACTGGCTGTTTCTCACTGATTTGTCATGAACCAGAGAGCGTTCATGTGACAGATTTTCACCTGATGTATCTGCACTGAGAGACACACACACACACACTCATGAAAAGCCCTCACGCACACACATGGGTGTAGCAGCTGAGCCGTCAGTGAAGCTGCTCCGACAGATAAGTACTACAGTAGTTTTGAAGTAGTTACACAGTACTGAAGATCCTGGACTCAGGAGTACTCAGACCACAGATGGTCTCCGCTTTAAGCCCCCCTCACACACTCACGCCACCGCTAATCTGTGGGACCTGGTCTGCCGATCTGAGGTCAGAGGTCACGTCACGTGTCTGTCCAGTTTCTTAGCCTCTCACAGACAAATACCTCGTTAAACCAAACGAGGTTCTGATCCATTTCCGAGTGAAGCTCATTAAGAATACCACGGTCTGAGTGTAGACCTGTAGACCGTGTCTGAGTACTGGATCCTCAGTGACCTGGACCAGTGACCTGGACCAGTGACCTCAAGTGAGCTCCAGCTCTGAGGAGCAGCTCCTGGACCTGAGGAGCAGGAGCAGCGTTGGTTGTCTTCTGCTCCTGCTGATCATTAATTGCAGCCTGTAGTGTCGTAGTGAACATCTGCTTGTAGACAAGCTCTCTCTCTCTCTCTCTCTCAGGCAGTGCGAGCTTCACTGTGAATGTAGGTCATTAATTTGTTTCTGTCCTTTGTTTACTTAAGGAAGGGGACAAAGGGCCAGCTGCAGAACCATTTGGCTCTGCCCAGGGCGGGCCAGCTCAACATGTTGGGAGGCTGAGACCAGCTTGGGCTCCTGTCTGGGGCCCGGGCCCCTGCACGCTGCTGCATCGCGTGTGGAAGCGGCCTCTGCCAAGCTGCCATGGCGGCGCCTGTTCTCCTCCAGTCTTCTTCAGGTTCAGGAGAGAAAAAATCCACCGATGGTCTACAGTCCAATTTCACACACAGTGAAAATGAAGCTAGTAGTTATTTAAGAAAGTTTTTTTTCTGATGGACACGAGGGAGAACCGCAGGTTCAATGACCTTTGACCTTTCCATAGCAGCTCGTCACTGAACTCCAGCAAAGAACGAAGAATAAGAAGGAAGGAAGGAAGGAAGGAGTCTGCCTCAGAAATAAAGTCTTTAAAGTTATAGGGTTCATTACTGTGCCATTCAAAACCTGTTAGGGTGCCATTTCTGGCCCCAGGACCAGACTTTGAACACAAAACAAATCCTTATTAAAACAAAGCAACATGAACCAGGTCCAGTCCAGGTCCACGACTAGGGCAGGGAGGGGCAGTGTGTTCACGTGAGTGTTTTGTATGTCTGTGTGTGTTGGGGGTGTGGTGGGGGAGGTGGGGGAGGTGTCTGCATATTTAAAGGAGCCTCTTTGTCCGACTCTCAGCGCAGCAGGACAGAAGGACGGCAACAAGAGAGAGAGCAGACAATACACTGGAGCTGCACTG